AATGACCGTTATAGAAATATCCAGTGTCAGAAATGCAGTTACATGAATCAGAGAAAAAAACCCGGATAGTATTACCCATTAATCATATTCATTTAAATAAAACACTGATTTTATTAAACAAAATTAACTCAATTTCCTTCACATAAGGAGTATTTTTTACATTGGTTTTTGTGGTTTCTTTTGCTCTGAGTTTTCTAAACCCTTCAATATTTTTCAAATACTTTGTTTTATATATATCATTATGTTGAGATTAGATAATTTTACTAAGCAATTAAACAAATACATGTTTTAATAGAAGAGGAGCCCCCATTTCACACGCTTGTGACTTCACCTTTGTTCTCATTGTCTTGGACTGATTTCAACACCCCACCCTGCATTTGTAAAATGGGCTCCACAGTAAGAATGAGTGGGGACCCAGCCTTACTCTGTTGTTGCTGGGGCAGAAACTTGTGAGAATGAACAACTTGCCCTTACAAGTTCACACAGGCCATCCTATTACTAAGTGGAATTCCTAGGTCATTACTGCATCTAACTCTCCACTCGCCGAGTGTGAATAATAAGAATCTGAGCACTTGCTCTTTTCTACTTCCAAAAGCTTTTATTTTTAATTTTAATTTAGTATCTACAATGTTTGGAATAGACAATTCTACTCTTTAAAGATATAGTTGCTAGAAGAAGTGTGAATTTAGGATTACCAGGCCACAAGGAATTGGCACCCCGTTACTAAATAATTGCATGCAAAGTACAGGTTCAAGCTCAAACTTTTATTAATTGGGAAAAAAAAAACCATTCTTCATAATGTTTATGTTTTAAAAGTTATTCAGGGGACTCAAAGGAAATCTAGACAATTAAAAAAAATACATGCTAGTACATAAAACACACACTAATCATGTTGAAAAACTCAGGCAGTACCTCATTACTTAAGACCTCTTTGAGCTATATGGAGGACACAGCCTTTCTAGGTGTGAATTCATGTCTGGCTACCCACTGGCCAGCTGATCCAGGGAAGCCATCCTCCCCCTCCTAAATTATGTGTTACCAACTCTAAATTCAGGTTCTAAAATTCCTATATCATTCCTCTTTATTAAATGAACTGAGTTAGGCAAAAGTCTTGTAAATCATAAAACCATAAAACATGCAAATGTTTGGAAAGGTTTTTTGTTTTTCTTTTCCTGTTTACTTTAGAAAGCAATCATCTAATAGAGCAAAAGGAAGCCAGGATAATTAACTAGAAGATTGTCTCAGTTTCTAGTACAGAGGTAGTGAGACTAGAGATTACAGAATAATATGGCAATAAGACTGGATAGCGAGGATTTGTTTTTTAATTGAGAAAAGTGTTTATGATTTGGTGGGCACATAGAGAAAATAAAGAGTGAAAAGACAAGATCATTACCATCAGTGGCAGGAATAGAACTGCTAAGATGTTAGGGTAAATGGAAATCATGGAAAAGGAAGTGGGAAGTTCTCTTCTGGATTTGATGAGATTAAAGAGATGACAAGATCATTAAACCAAGAAAACGTGTCAGCCATCTTGCAACTTGGAAGGACACTCAGGGAAAGCCAATAAGGACAGCAAAGGGGAACGCCCCAAATCCTGGGTCCTTGGGTCATCTTGCCGCTAAATAACCAACTTTGGGACTGACTTTGTCTTAACTGTGTATTTTGCTACTTGCAGCCAAAACCATCCTACCCAAGATAACAGTGAAGTTGAATTGAACAAAAAATAAAATAATCTTGGTAAGGTAACAAAAGGATTATAGATATTTTTAGTCAGTTTACAATTCTTTGTGTTTGAGAAGGGCTATGTCCTTAAATATAGTAACTGCTTTTTCCTTTTGCTACAGATTTCCCTCCTTTGGAGACCCAATAAGGTAAATTGAAGAATAACAGCTGCAGTGGAAAGACAGAATATAATCCACTTGTGATTTAAAAGATTACTGATGTGTTTTTAAATGGCAATGTAGAAGTTACATGTCTAGAAAGCACTGTTTAGTTCAAAAAGCATTTATTTTGTCTCTAAATCAGGCATTATGCTAAATTGTGAGCTCCTGCAGTTTTAGATATGAGTTGTTAGAAAAGATATTTCATTTTTATGAGAATGATTCACTTTCCTAAAATCCTATCCTAACTCTGAATATATGAAGATGGATTAGACCATAATCATTTATACTGATGATGATCTCACATCTCAGCTCCTCTGTTTGAGAGAGAAACCTTAAAAGGACAATGCTCCAGGTTTCTTAAACTTTTATTGATAAAAACTTGAGTTATATTTCTCCCCAGGATACCTATAATACATTAAAGTGAGTTATATTTTAGCTATCATTCTGAGTAATTAATACTATGTTCCTTTCTGAGAAATGTGTTCATATATCAAATAGAGTTTTTTAAGATGACCACTAAGTTACTGATTAAAAGAATAATAGGAAATATTTATCATGCTTACAATGTGCCAGATATTCCCAATCCTCAAAACAAGAATGATTATTATCACCACTTTCTGGCTGAAGAAACGAAGGCAGTGTGGTAGGGGAACTTGCCGAACTAAGAGTTGGAATCAGAATATATATCCAGGCACCCTGACTCCAGACTCCACACGCACTTCACTTACATCCTACAACACTCCAGATGAAAATAAAGTGAGGGTATTATCACTTCTTTTATGATCTTAAGTATCTAAACATTTATTTTTTAAGTAGCTTAAAAATACTACTGGAAGAAGTACAAACTTCCAGTTATAAAATAAGTCACAGGGATGAAAAGTACAGCATAAGGAATATAGTAAATAACATTTAATAATGCTGTATGGGGACAGATGGTGATGACACTTCTCATGATGATGACTGAGTAATGTGTAGAATTGTTGAACCATTATGTTGTTCATTTGAAACATATAACATTGTGTATCAACTATACTTCAATAATAAAAAAAAATACTACTGGATAGTTAAGCATCCAACTCTTGATTTCGGCTCAAGTCATAATCTCAGGGTCATGAGCTCAAGCCCCACCTCAGGTTCCACACTGAGCACGGAGGCTGTTTAAGATTCTCTCTCTCTCTCCCTCTGCTCCTCACCTCAGCTCACACATGTGCACTCTCTTTCTCTCTCTCTCTCTCTCTCAAAAAAAAAAAAATACTACTGGAAACTTTAATAAGTATTCTATAAAGAAAGATTTCTTCAACACATAATAGAGGAAACTTTTCTGACTGAGGGGCTTCCTACAGCTAAATAGGTCAGTGAGGTGTAGGATGACCTCCATGACCATACATTGGCTCTCTCTATTGAATGATGTAACAAAATAGCATTTCCACCTTCCCTAAAGCCATCAAACACTCAGAAAGGAAGAGTCAATGTCAACTTCTTCTTGGCTTCAGAAGAAGTAGCTAAATTTTGGCCCAGGTTTCTCTAATCCAAGCCTTGCTTGGCTTCCCCATCTCTGAACGTCCTCCTTCCAGCAGCTGCACTGAAGTTTTAGTTTGTTTTGTTTTGCTCTTGTTTTATTTTTCTTCTTGGGTGCTAGACATCCATTGATGATCTGAGGGATAATTCACAGCCCCAACCTTCCTACTGATACATCTATACTCTTCTCCCATGATTGTTCATTTAAGTACAAAGTGTAATGGAGCCAGAATCCCTAACACGTGGTGTCTTTGGTAGATTATTTCACTTCAGTGTGACTCACCTCCTCATTTTCAGATCAGGACTGTTACCTGCTCGGAAACAGTTGCTGGGAGGGTTGCATGGATGATCCATGTCAAGTGGGTGGGCGGTGTCTGGCAGGCGACACACACTCAGCCACCCTGATGACTGTTGTTATCATTAAGAAAATGACTCCATAAGATTCTCATGCATTCTCTTGCTCTGGGTTCAGGCATCACTGGTTTTATCTTGTGCTTTATCTTTTAACAATAGTTTTTAATATACATTCCAGCACTTTTACATAGAAAAGTGTTTTTAAAAATAGTTTTTAGTATTTCAGTAGCAATTGGGTTGGTGTTTGATGATTTTCCCTGGTACCTCAGTTGTTTTCCATCCAGATTTTTTAATTCAATAGTTCGAAGGTCTATTCTGTTTAACTTTTTTTCTGGAGAAAAACCTGCCTATATATTTTATGCCCACTATGAATTCAGAATATATTTGCTAGTAAGTGAGATCCATTTTGCTTTCCCTATATGCTGCCCTCATTTTACTCAGTATAGGTTGTCAACTTTTTTTTCTGGGGGAAGGAGGTATAGATATACTTTTGAGTATGAGGGAAGAAAGATTAGGCTTCCAATTTTGCCTTTCTCATTCTTAGTTACACAAAGTAAAATCACTAAAGAAGTAATAGAACTTCTAGTCAAATTCCAAACTGGTGCAGCCACTATGCGGCATGGAGTTTCCTCAAAAAATTGAAAACAGAACTACCATATGATTCAGCAATTCCACTTCTGGGTATTTCCCGAAGAAAATGAAAACACTAACTGGAAAAGATATAAGTGCCCCGATGTTCATTGCAACATTATTTACAGTAGTAGCCAAGGTATGGAAACAACCTAAGTGTCCACTGATGGATGAATGGATAAGAACAATGTGGTGTATAAATACAAATGAATATTGCTCAGCTATAGAGAAGAAGGAAATCTTGCCATTTGCAACAACATGAATGGACCTTGAGGGCATTTTGCTAAACAAAATAAGTCAGACAGAGAAACACAAATACTGTATGTTCTCACTCATATGCAGAACCCGAAAAGAAAAACAAAACAGAAAAAAAAAAACAAAACAAAACACTGAACTCATAGATACAGAGAACAGATTGGTGGTTTGCGGTTGCCAGAGGCAGGGCATTGGGGGGATGGGCAAAATGGGTGAAGGCTGTCAAAACATACAAACCTCCAGTTAAAAAATAAATAAGCCTTGAGCATGTCATAGACACCATGGTGACTCTAGTTAATAATACTGTATTGTATATTTGAAAGTTGCTACAAGAGTAGATTTAAAAGTTCTCATCACAAGAGAAACATACATCATATATATAGATGTACAATTCACTAAAAACTGCTTCCAAAAACTTTATTCAACAGAAATTATAATAGCCTACAAAGTAGAATCTTGGAGACACACTGTTAAATCACTCTGGTTTCCTTAATTACTACCATGATGCTACTAAAAATAAAAACAAAATTGAAATGACCAGTGACATTTGCCAAACATTATGCTCTTTCCTGTCATTCCCATCAAATAATATCAAGAAATGATATAACTTTATCAGTTTTAATGGTCATATCCATGAAGCTAAGGATAGTGTATAAATTGTTGACTTTTGGAAAGAGAGAAAACGTGAAATATCAAAACAGCTTGCTTGCTCTCTGTGAAGCTCCAGGTCTTGATCTCCATTACTAGCAAATTTGTTCACCAACTGCCTTTTTCTTCAGTCAGCGCCATATCCTACATGTATTATCCTTGCTACCTAATAAAACAAATTTCACCAAGTTATTTTTTCTTTATTTCATTCACTAACTCTCCCTTTTTACAAGTTGATCTTCTCTGGGACATTGACGATGGTCAATGTACTCAATGTGCCCAGCTGTGGAGTCTTTGAGCTGCTCCGGCATTTTGGGGGCAAGAATTTTCTATTTTTAATGATTCCTGTCAGTCATCAATTGGGCAAGTTCATGTCCTACTCATACGTGTGAGATTCATGGCATCTCAGAACTGGACCCCTGAGAATGCAGCCTTCCCCTCTGCTCATTCCCTCTGCCCTCCCCTCAAACAGTGCAGTCAAGTGGAAAGACAGTGAATTTGAACATCACCAGATCAGGGTGATTAACTTATGAGGCGGCAACACATTCCACTTCAGAACATTTCAAAATGTCAACGGATTTTTCTCATTGTTGGTAAAATGTGAAATGTGCATTCTTTTACCTCCCCACTGCTATGATAGACCCTCTTCCAAAGCAGCTCTAATCAACTGCTGCCCAAGGGTGCCATTCACATTCACTCTGCCTTTGGAAATGACCACTCTGGTATGGAGCAGCGCTGGGCACTGCTGGTTCTCTGACCTTTGGGAGCCAGGCACATAACATTAATATAAGAAGTGTGCTGGTTACATGGACTGGGAGAGCCTATAAGAACTGTTCATTCCACCAAAAGACACGTCATCTTCTAAAAAAAAAGATTAATGACCATGCTGGCCAAGTTCCTTCCATTTTGTGATTTCAGGCCCAACCTCAGGCAGCCCATGAAAACTCAAGCAGTTAATCACACCTGGGCCGATCAAGAAAAGGGGGTAGATCCATTCAAACAAAGTGATTGTTCTGGTGATGACAAAACAGAAGTATCACCCCCCTTGTAGTAAGCTCCCCCATCCAGCAGGCCCGTGTTTAGCACTTTGGTGCTTTGAGAGACACTAAATAAATCAGTAATGTCTTAACAAGCTCAGGAGTGCAAATGCCAGCAGCAAAACAAGGCATAAACAATGTTCTTCCCTAAAGTCTCTTAGGATCTCCTGTGACTCGGGGAAGAGGTACCACACAGCTGGTCTAACATGAACTATGTAGACTAGAAAAGGCTGGTCCTCTGACAAAACAGCCCCAGCTTCCTTTTCCTTACTTGCCATCAGCTTCCTACATGAGCTTCTGGTGCCCCCATCACTGCCTCCCACCTCTTTCCTCGTCATGGGAAAGGATTTGACATTGTGCTCACAATAAATTATGTGGGTTATTATGGTAGTGCCTTAAGAGTACCTACATTTTAGTGACGCTAGCAAATCATAAACTCCAGAAAGTAATCCATAATTTTAGAAATTATCCACAATTAAATAGTAACATGAGGTTTTTAGGGCAAAAAGGGAGATTATTCTCAGCACCCCTGAAGTTATATGACTAAGAAGCTACTTAATCAGCCAATATAGAAAGTCAACCTTGCACGTGGGACATTTAACTTATTAGACCAGTTAAGCAATTTTGAAATTGCTCAACACGGTAAGAATCACTGGAGTTAGGCAGATTATGTCCTCTGTGTCCCCTTAGGGCGCCCCTACCCCACACAGCTTTACCACCCCACTCCCTGCTAGGGCCTGTTTCCAGAGGCACCGCACTAACATCACACCATACTCTTGTCACTTTCCACAATCGAAGTTAACCTATTCTCAATCCAGTTCTTATAAAACATTTCTAATATAATTAATTCACAATAAATTGTTAATGGTTGAAAAATGCTCAATATGGGTTCTCTTCCCCCAAATATTAAGGTGTTAGCAGGGGGCATCCAAGGAGAAAACAACTTAGCTCAAAGAATAAATCTCTCATGGGCTGGAAGTCCAACAGTGCAGAACTTGTGTCCTAGCCTGTTTTAGTTATAATACTTACTGACAACTGAATATTAACCATTCGGTGGGCACTGCCTGGGGAGAGGTGGTAACCAGTAAGGCAGCTTACTGAATTCTTTGTTAAGAGCAACTAAAATTCAAAATTCAACAAAGCCTTATAGTCAGAGCTCACCCTTGTGGTCCCACATGCAACTAAAATTAAATCACGGGTGTGGGAAGCATTGGCATGCACCAGGGACCCTGCAAGAGGGGGCAGGGAGAGCAATAAAATCCTTTTGGTATTCAGCTTGGAAACTCTAATAGCCAATTGAAAAAGAAAACCAAGTCTATGTGTTTCTCTCTCCCATACCTGTAATGATTATGTTGCCTTTATAGTTGAAAGCACATGAAAAGATCTCATCCGTGTGCCCCTCGAGAATCTGGAGGCATTGACCAGTCTGAGCATCCCAGATTCTAGCTGTTTTGTCAGCGCTGCCAGTCAGAAGATGATTCCCTTGGGGGTTGAAAGAAATCTACAAGAGAGAAAGGAAAATGACAGGTTTGTGTAATTTGATTCCTGACATATTTTTAATCGGCAAAAGGGGGACATGACTAAGCACCTGCCATCTTCCCTGCTTGACATTTATTCTTACATAGAACAGTTCCTTCCTGGGGGGTGGGGGGGATTGCAGGGACTAATACATGAAAATTAAAGTCTAGACAGAAAAGTATAACTGGCCACCCCACCCCCACCCCACAGTTCTAAGGATAAAGACCAAAGCTCCCTTCTAATTCGAGTATTCCCCACCTAGCTTCTTTCCAAAGACTCAAGATGCAAGTCTCTCCATACAAACAAAGAGACAGCCCTGGTGTGGATAAGAACATAAGTCAGGTTCCTTCACACCCAAGCCTCCATATTATCCCTATAACCCAACTTTCTGTAATCAGAAGCATATAGATCGTCCTTCAGTCTGTGCCACAGAACGAGTGAATGTTGGGGGAACTTTCGTTTTACTGCCACTCCAAGTAAAGCACGTTGTATAAATATGTCCTGAGTGCCTCCTATGTGCCAAGCGGTATCTGAGCGACTGCCAAAGGAAGTGGTTAGTTCACTATTTCTTTGGGCGCCACGCTTATAACCCTGTCTAAGTCATCGTAAGACAACGATTTGGGTCACAACCTTTATAACTGAAGGTTTGATGAGGACAAGGATCAAGAACATGGCTTTTTTTGTCCCTGTGTCCCCAGTAAAATGCCTAGCATGGGAAAGCTCTCAAAATGCATTTGCTGATCCATTTGTCTGTTAAAGGGCATCTCGGCTCTTTCCACAGTTTGGCTATTGTGGACATTGCTGCTATGAACACTGGGGTGCATACGGCCCTTTTTTCACTACATCTGTGTCTTTGGGGTAAATACCCAGTAGTGCAGTTGCTGGGTCATAGGGTAGCTCTATTTTTAATTTTTTGAGGCACCATCACACTGTTTTCCAAAGTGGCTGTACCAACATGCATTCCCACCAACAGTGTAAGAGGTTTCCCCTTTCTCCACAACATCTCCAACATTTGTTGTTTCTTGCCTTGTCAATTTTTGCCATTCTAACTGGTGTAAGGTGGTATCTCAATGTGGTTTTGATTTGGATTTTCCTGGTGGCTAATGATGATGAACATTTTTTCATGTGTCTGTTAGCCATTTGTATGTCTTCTTTTGAGACGTGTCTGTTCATGTCTTCTGCCCATTTTTTGACTTGATGCCCTTCAACAGATGAATGGATAAAGAAGATGTGGTCCATGTATACAATGGAATATTACTCGCCATCAGAAAGGATGAATACCCAACTTTTACATTAACATGGATGGGACTGGAGGAGATTATGCTAAGTGAAATAAGTCAAGCAGAGAAAGTAAATTATCATATGGTTTCACTTATTTGTGGAACATAAGGAATAGTATGGAGGGCATTAAGAGAAGGAAGGGAAAAATGAAGGGAGGGAAATCGGAGAGGGAGACGGACCATGAGAGCCTATGGACTCTGAGAAACAAACTGAAGGTTTTAGAGGGCAGAGGAGTGGGGGGATGGGTTAGCCCAGTGATGGGTATTAAGGAGGGCATGTATTGCATGGAGCACTGGGTGTTATACACAAACAATGAATCATGGAACACTACATCAAAAACTAATGATGTACTGTATGGTGACTAACATAATAAAAAAAGGAAAAAAAAAGCATTTGCTGAATGAATGAATGAATATCTTAACTTTGTATACCATAGAAACGCCATTGCTGAATGGCAATTCAATAAGTAGTGTATTGCATAACCCTAAAATGCAATATAGAGTGTGAGAACTCTTTATATACACAAAAACATGTGCGCTTGTTGAGTGGGCCACATCATGCATATCAATGGTTATCAGACCAGTCACTCAGCAACATGGCCTGGGCTCTCTTCCTAAGCTGTCTCCCACATCCACACTTCCCTATCTCCCTTCCTGCCAGGCCCTAATGCCTCCTAGCCTATGGAAGAGATGTGTTCTGTGTGGCCTCAGAGACCAATCTTGAAGGGCAGGGGCTCCTGGCCACTGGCAGCAGGTGCAGAGGAGGGAGGGGGAGGGAGAGTACAACAGGAGGACGTTCCAGGGTCCAGGGGCAACATTCCAGGACCTGAAGCCATCAAACTGATCCTTTAAAAGGAAGGAGCAAATCTGATCTCAGGTATGAGACGAAGGAACTGGGCTGAGCTGGGTGGGAGCTGAGAGTCACCAAGTCCCGGCGTTTCCAGAGTTTTTGGAGGACACAGCTAAACCTCAGATCACTGATTGGAAGGTTCTGCTCTGTGAATCAGCTTGTGGGAGGAGCTTAGACAAAATCGTAAGCTACAGCCTTGAAGTTTCAAAGTAGGTCATTTTAAACTCTGTTAAGTGTTAAATATTTCCAGGAAATACTTTCTCAATTGCATCTAATTTATGAAACACTTGATACTTGCTGCACAGCATGTTTTTTGCATAAAATATACTTGTGTGTCTGCTAGGACCAGGAAAAGCACTTTGTAAGTTTCTTAAATAGCTTTAATAGGTATTTTCAGCGAACTCAATCTTTTGCTGATGGCTGAGAAAAAATGCTGTTTTATACTTTTTAAAAGGTTTTAGGAATCTTTTATTACGCTAAGTTTGAGGTCACACTTAAAAATATAGTTTTTAGGTAGCTGATTTCTAGAAAGAGTGAGATAATTGGACAAGCCCTAGTGCCAACAGACCTATTTACACTAAGCATGCTATGTTTTTAAAACTAAATAAATTGCTCCAGATGAGAAAGCAACTCACCTTCGAAATTTCGCCTTCATGGCCTTCCAATTTGGTAATGCATTTTCTTGTGGCTGCACTGAAAACTCTTGCTGTTCCTTTTTGAAAGAGTGGAAACACATATAAATGCGTCCGAAATACAGAACTTTGAGCCATGTGCCCTGAATTACGGAATATCTATTCCTCTGTCATACAGGCTCTGTGCTGCTTGTCTTCTTGCCTGTGGTGATAGCCACCACCCAAAACTGCAAATGTAAGCTGGCGCCACTGCAGGAGAACAGGGGAAGCAGGATGCCCCTCTAGCCCCGAGCTTCTTAGAAGAAATGATGGGTTCCAAGGTAGAAAAGGTGGGGGGGAGGAATCCACAAAGAAAAAGTTTGTAACGGGAAAAGGGAGAATCAAAACAAGTTTTGAGAGGCGGGCGATGAAATAAGCAGCCAGACCAGCATCACACACCAAATAGGAGTCTAAGGTTACAGAAGGTTCGAGAGGCCTTCCTGAAATGGAGCAACAGCCGCTACTCGCTGGGCAAAGAACAGGCACCAGGGAAGCCTTTCTACAGAAAGAGCTGGTAGAGTGGTTTGTTCCCTGTTGTATCCCCAGGGCCCAGAAGTGCCAAGCTCCCAGTAGACACTCAATAAGTGGATGCTGGATGGATGGATGGATGGATGGAGTGGATGGGTGGATGGATGAATGGATGGGTTGTTGGGTGGATGGATGGGTGGATGGATGGGTGGGTGGATGGATGGAAGGAAAGGTAGATGGATGGGTGGGTGGAAGGAAGGAAGAAATGGTATAGACATTTCCTTAGAATTAAGGAATGGAGGAGTTAAATAAATGTAGAAGGAGAAAAACAGCAGTAGTAAAATTGTTGTCAGAGAAAAAGTTAACATTTTTCTGGCCGGATGAAGGCTGCTCTCTTATTGCAATTACAAAATTACATAGAGGCAAAATTGGTAACGATAAGAGAATTTTGGTTACTTAATTTTCATTCAGAGAAGAGCAAAACATCTTAGTAAATTTTTTACTTGCCCTTCTGACAATGTCAACTTCAGGAAGAAATAGATGAAAATTGCTATTTTACAATTAATATGACTAAAAATATAAACCTTGCTAGTCGGACATTTCAAAAGCCTTAAAGTGACCAATGTGTTTTAAGATTGTGTTAATAGGGCGCCTGGGTAGCTCAGTAAGTTAAACGTCTGCCTTTGGCTCAAGTCATGATCCCAGGGTCCTAGGATCGAGCCCCACATCAGGCTCCCTGCTCTGCGGGGGTCTGCTTCTCCCTCTTCCTCTGCCCCTCCCCCCTGCTTATGCTCTCTCTCTCTCAAATAAATAAATAAAATCTTTTTTTTTTTTAAAGAATGTGTTAATATTGGGGTGCCTGGGTGGCTCAGTCAGTTGAGTGTCCAACTCTTGGTTTCGGCTCAGGTCGTGATCTCAGGGTCGTGAGATCAAGCCCCATATTGGGCTCTGTGCTCAGCAGGAAGTCTGGTTGGGATTCTCTCCCTCTGCCCCTCCCACCTTCACTTGCTCTCTTTCTCTCTCTCTCAAAAAAATAAATGAATCTTTAAAAAAAAGAATGTGTTAATACAACAAAAATGAATATCCTGCCTACAGTAATTCTCTAAATTTCTCAAAAGCATTTTTAAGCTTCAGAAAACACAGAAATAATATCACCTAAAACTATATTTTTAAAAGATAGAAATATGAATAAGACACCAAAAAATAATGCAGCCTTGAGAGTGATTCAAATGAGGAAGTAAAAGGTGATAAATGGGAAGAAACAGATGTCATTTCACAGCTTCAACTAACCCCTGTTGAATGGATCCAGTTTTAAGTAGGGAATGAGAAGCAAGAAGCAGAGTTAAGTAAACAAGATGTCTCCAAACATCAAGACTTCTTAGAAGATGCAGAGTGAGAAGAGGTTTACAAAACATACCAAAGGAAAAAAAAAAAGTTTTTTTGAAGTAATGTCTTTTTTTTTTAAGATTTTATTTATATATTTGAGAGAGCGAGAATGAGAGAGAGAGAGAGAGAGAGAGAACATGACGGGGGGAGGGTTAGAGGGAGAAGCAGGCTCCTCGCTGAGCAGGGATCCCGATGCGGGACTTGATCCAGGGACTCCAGGATCATGACCTGAGCTGAAGGCAGTCGCTTAACCAACTGAGCCACCCAGGCGCCCCTGAAGTAATGTCTTATTGATCAAGGAAAGAATGGAATCACTGCTAGGGGACATATAAGATGATAGAGAAAACAAAAGAATTATTGAACTGCAGTTAATTCTCATCCATCTCTCAGCATCCTGATCCCCAGACCCTGCTTGTTTCTCCACCCATAGTGCTGACAAGCTCCTAACATTCTTTATAATCTAACATCCTCTATATTCTAACATTCTATGGAAAACACATATATGTTATTCTTCATTGTCTCCCCCTCCAAAATATAGCTCCACGAGGGAAGGAATTCCTCTCTCTTTTGTTCATTGATATATCCCATGTTCCTAAAACAAATCCTGGCACAAAGTAGCTTCCCTATTCTTGTTGAATGGATTTTTTTTTTATATAAGTGAGAATGATATTTAAAATAAAAAGGGTAGATTAATTACCATTGAGGGATGATTTTAAAAAGCTAAGCTCTGTAAGAAGATGAAAAAGAACATAGTTACTTTGAAAGATAGAGTTCTCCAAATTCAGGGTGTTTATATTCCAGGATATAGAAAGAACTTTATGTATGATCAAAGAATCACCTTTGAAAAGTCCTAGTGAGTAAGGGAACAGCATGCAAATGTAATTTTGAAAAGGGAGACAAAGGTGGAATAAAGACTGTTATTAAAATGAATCACGGGCAAAATTCTACAACTGATTATAACACAGAGGATATGTGACTACTTAACAGTAAGTTAGTCACAAGAAACAAATCAAAGAACAAGTCATGCCTGAAAAAAGCATCCCATTTTTGCTAGAATTTCTTAAATGGCTGTTAAGTTTACATGGACATGATGTAGCGTCTCATAGGGTCGGTCACTAAAGGAATTAGACATAATGAAACATCATGTGTGATTATCAAAGAGATGACTTAGACACAGTGTAGGCTTAAGTGTGCTGACATGGTGATGACATAATCATAGTACAGCATGATATGCATTCATGGGGAGGTGACACAGATATAATATAGTGTCACAGGTGGTCATCACGGAGATGATGTAGACATAGTGGAGCATGGTGTGTGGTTGTCAAGGAGATGAAAACACACAGTGTAGCATCATACATGACATCAAACAGATAACGGAGATGTTGTGTAGAATCATCTGTGGACTACAGGAAGACGGCACATACCCAGTGTAGCAACATAATGGATCATCAACCGATGACACAGATATATTGTAGCACCATATAAGGCCATCGTGGATATGACACATACTATATCATCACACATCGTCATCTGGGAGATGATGCAAAATAGTGTAGCACTCCACATGGTTATCAAGGAGATGACCTAAACATAGTATAGCATATACAGCATATATCCCTAAGAGGTTGTCAAAGACATGACTAATGGTACAGCATGATGTATTTATCGAAACATTCAGTAGTAATGACATACCATGACGCACACTTAAATTTGATACAGAGTGTGGCATCATATGTATTTGTCAAGGATATGATACAGACATCATGAAGCATCATTCACTGTCATCAGGGAGCTTATCCATAGTACCGCGTCATCCATGGCTATCAGGACAGTGGGAAGTCCCAATGTAGCATCATATAGAGCAGGTTAAAAGATGATACATAGTGTAGCATGATATGTGGTTGTCAGAAAGATGATCTATAGCATAGACTCACATATGATTACCAAAGACATGATGCAGACATGTCATATCCTGGGATTTGCAAGGAGAGAAGCCTTTAGGCAGAAAATGCAAACATGCTCTATGTCAGACATGGTGTTATGCACCAAATCATGTCCCCCACAAAACTCCTATGTTGAATTCCTAACCCCGAGTACCTTAGAAGTTGACTTACTTGGAGTTTGAGCCTTTAAAGAAGAAATAGATTAACATGAGGTCATTAGAGTGGGCCTTAACCCAAAATAGCTGGTGCCCTTATAAGAAGAAGACATGAGGATACAGACACATGCAGAGGGAAGACCACATGAAGACACGGGGAGAAAACTGTCACCTGCCGGCCTCAGAAGAAACCAAGGCTGCCAACACATTGATCTCAAACTTATAGCCTCCAGAATTGTGAGAAAAGAAATTCCTGTTGTTTAAGCCACTCAGTCTGTCGTACTCTGCTATGGCAGCCCTGGCAAACGAATACAGTTATACAAGAGATGATGCAGTCACACGATAGCATTACATGAGCTTACCACAGACATACTGTAGCATCATACATGGTGGACCAGATGGCACAGATACTCACAGCATCATACATGATTGTCAGGGGACTACCCATAATAGAGCATCATACAGGATTATTAGAAAAATACACAAACATAGCATATAGCTTCATCCGTTGTCAGAGACACGATGAGACATAGTATAACTTCATAGATGGTTGTCAAGGAGATGACCCAGAAATAGTGTAGCATCACTTTGGTTGTCAGGCGAATGATGCAAATGTAACATGGTGACATACATTATCAGGGAGATGACACATAGTGTAGTGTCATACATGGACATCAGGGTGATGAAATAGACATAATCTGCGTCATATGTGGATATAATGGACTTGACACAGACATACTGTAATGTCATAGGTGCTTATCAGGAATATGAGACATATAGATTTCAGCATAAAAATAAGAAAATAACACAGAAATAATGTATCATCATACTGTTTTCCAAATGGCACAGACACGGTGCAGTGATTATCATGGACGTGATACAGAAATCATCTAGTCCATCCTATCGCATCTTACAGGGTTGTTTAAAGGGATGAGATAGTAGTAGTAGAGCATCACACACACTTTTGTCTTGGAGGTTTCACATAACAGCATAGTTTTCTAGGATATGATGCATATATTATGTAGCCTCATATGTGGTAATTGAGGAAACTCTCATAGTAGAGCATCACACATGATTTTCAAGAAGAGGATGTAGATGTCATTGTGAAGAACATGATACAGACATAGTATAACACCATACATGTTTTTAAGGAGATAACACAGAAATAGCATAGCATCTTAATGATTGTCAGGGAGATGATGTGGTTATCAGAATATGATATAAGGTATAGCATCATGAACGGTTGCCAGAGAGAGGAGGCAATCAGAGCATAGCATCAATGGAGGTCAGTGAAGTGACACACTTTAACATCACATAACCTCATTAATTGTGGGCACAGAGAGCATAACATAGGAGCCTACCATGGAGATAACACACATGATAACCTCACACATAGCACTCAAGGAGATGACATTAAAGGATAGTGTGATAAGCAGACTTCAAAGAGATAGTCTTATATCTTAACGTGGAATCATGCAGTTTTGTAAATGAAGGGATCCAGACATAGAAGACCTTGAAGACGTGTTTGTCAAGGTGATGAGGTAGAAATATTACAGCATCACACATAAATTTCTAGGAAATGGTGAAGGTATGGTAGAGTATCATACATGGTTATAAAGGATTAGATGAAAATATAGTGTAGCATCATACATGATTTTAAGGAGAATGACAAGGACTGTATTTTAAAACATAGCAGTCAGGTATATGATATAGACACAACATAGCATCATACATGGTCATTAAAGGGATAACATTGACTTAGCACAGCTCCATACATGATCATTAGGTGGATGACACAGGGGTGGTGTAGAATTATCTGCAGTCTTCAGGAAGAGGACATGCAGTGTAGTGTAGCCTCATACTTTATTATCAAGGTGATGACTCATAGAACAGCACCACACATGGTTGGGTGATGGCATGAGATGACATACTTCGTATAACATCACATATGCGTGCCAAGGAGATGGTGTAGATGGAGCATCCCACGTGGTTGTCAAGGAGATGATGCAGACACAGTATCACATGTGGTGGTCATGGATATGATATAATGACGGGGGGGCCAGTGAATGAGGCAGAAGTTGCGTAGCCTCTTACATGCTTGTCAGGAATACATAGTTATCATGAGGATGACCTGTTGTTTACTATCATAAATTATCATCCAGGACATAGTGTATATGTAGTATACCAATACAGATGGTTGTCAATGAGATGATACAGACATCACATAGCATTATATTGGGTTTTCAGTGAAATATCACAGATACAGTGTAGCATCACATGTATTTGTCATCAAGATGAGTTCTAGTATCACGGCACACACGGTTATCAAGGAGATGATGCTGACATAGTACACATCATATGCAACAATCGAGGAGATGATATAGGTAGAGTGTAATATCATACATGGTTTTTAAGAAAATTCGAGTATGGTGTATTATCATGCATGGTCATCAGGATGATGATGATACATAATGCAGTATCTTGCTTGGTGACCCAGAGATGGAGTAGATATAGCATGTAACATGTGTCCTGGAGGGATGAGGTGGGCATAACAGAATAGCACACATGGTCAACAGGGAAATGACATAGATGTCTTGTAGCATCATCTGTGGTCTTCAATGAACTGAGGCACGCGTAGTGTACTACCAGCCCACAGTTACCAGTAAGATGATGCAGACCCAGGGTAGAATCCTAAGTGGTAAGCAAGAACATGACGTACAGCATAGCATCACATATGTTCATCACAAAGATGTGTTACATGCAGCACATATGGTATAAAGGAAATAATGCAGATTTATTATAGCTCCATGGATGGTGGTCAGGTTGATGAGGTTGACGTGGTATAGCATAATGCATGATTAGGGCGATGACCCAGAATATACCATTATATGTAGTCACCCAGGGGATGTGAAGATGCGAAGGCCCAGTATAACATCAGATGTGGTTGTCAAGGAGATGACGCAGACATTATAACCTGTGGTTACCAAGGATGTGATACTGACAGAGTGTAATGACCAACATCACAGAGATGAGGCAGATGTAGTTTCTCTCACAGCTGGTCATCAGGTAGATGACCTACAGTGTAGAATTATACTTGTTTATCAAACAACTTAAATATATGAACAGATGACCTACCATCGGCTGAAGCAGTTGCAATAAGTTTTCCAGTGTAATCAAAACAGCTGTCTAGTATTTCGTCATCGTGGCCTGTTAGCGTTGCCACACATTTTCCATTTGTGGCATCCCACAGCTACAACAGAAAAAGAAGGTGACTATGACTTCCTGTCTGAAGTGCAAGAATGGGAAGAAGTAGGCCTTATGACATACTTATGGCTAGCTGAATAACTGTGCCAAGATCATGTGTACAATTTTCACATGCTCCATTAAGTTTACATGGATTCACGACAGGAGACCACAGTCAACCGTCTCACAAGGCACACTTTCGACAAAGAGAAGACCAGGGACAGACATTTAGAATGGATAGTGCAAATCTGCCACTATATTAGGCAAGATCTCAAAGTGCACGCTTCACTGATTGGAGTGAAAATGTCCTCTTTTCATAAAAAGGTCATCGAATGATAAGGAGCTTGATCTGAAACTATAATGCTAGAGAATGAAAAGTGCATTAAGGTTGTAATACCTCGGGTATGTAATCAGATATTAATTCCAGAGCCTAAGCTCTTAGCAACAGAAATTTAAAGGCAGGGAAATATTGTATTGAGCCTCCTTGAGATTCACTCTAATCAAAGTTTAACAAATGAACAGAGAGACATTAAAGAAAAATAACATGTCTTTTAAAATAAGATGTTGTGGGCGCCTGGGTGGCTCAGTTGGTTAAGCGACTGCCTTCGGCTCAGGTCATGATCCTGGAGTGCCGGGATCGAGTCCCACATCAGGCTCCCTGCTCAACAGGGAGTCTGCTTCTCCCTCCGACCCTCCTTCCTCTCATGCTCTCTGTCTCTCATTGTCTCTCTCGCAAATAAATAAAATCTTAAAAAAAATTAAAAAATAAAATAAATAAAATAAGATGTTGTAATACATTTGATTCAATTAACATAGTTTCACTCTATCATAATTCTTTTAAACCTGGGGGATCAAAAACTTAACATTTAAAAATACCAATTATTTATAAATTAACATCCTAATTTTACAGCCCCTTTGAGATGAGGTAATGTTGCAAAGACTGTCCGACACAGTAAAAAGTGCACACAGGAGAACTGTAAAGCAAAGATATTTCTTGAGCTCACCATGCAGGTTTTGTCCATAGAGCCAGTTAATATCAGAGAGCAATCCCAGTTGAATAGAGCACTGCTAATTTCAGCACAATGCCCGATTAAGGTATACACCTTCCTACAAAATGGAAAGGATTCACACTGGTGAAAGACGCCTTGTTTCAGCATATGTGCACAAATAATGATGTCAAGCCCATTGGTGTGAGAGTCAAAATTTTGTTTTTTACAAAATAATATCTTTGATGACAAAGCAATGATAGTTGTAGTATAACTCAAAAACAGTCAACTAGACTACTAATTTCATTTTGGCAAAAATATACTTACATTTGAAGCACTCAAAAATAAAAACATTACTTAAGACTTCAGAAAGCCATGGGTAAAAAATAATACAGTTGGTCTGAAATTCTGGAAGTATTCTTATACCAGACCAGTGGACCCCTTGGTAGTTCAGAAACTACCCATCAAGTGTCTGAAGGGCCCTTCCTTCTCCCTCATTTCTTGGTGTATCCATCTTGTAGTAACTCCTGGTACTTAGCCCCTCTATCAAGATGCAGGCAAGTCCAAGGTAGAGCTTTCCAACGCAAATAGTCTAATTTAGTTAACTTCTTAGCAACTAGAACCCAAAATAATTAGGAAGGAAATTGAAGTTGTTGGACTAAATTTAATTTGGAAAATTAGCCATAATTTTATTTACTCATGATATCCATGCCTGCCATAATGACAAGCCATTGAAATTTGATTACACAGTACATGGAACAAATAATAGCCATACACCCAGGCTATTGTTAACATTCTCCTTTTATGTTTCTGTGTGGCATTATTTGCTCAGAATTCCAAGATAACACACATTTTTTTCTGGATCAGAAATATCATTAAATAATGAATTAATTTATTTTCGGTGCATCCTATTCCTATAGAGCCCAAAGCACAGTTAATAGATACGAGATTGAACTAGTGAACAGCAAAGACAGTCTTCTTAACCCTCTGATCCAAATTAAAAAATCCTTAAAGACGGAAAATACCTTCCAGTATCAGCTTCCCACACTGCAACGGTATGATCAAAAGATCCCGTGATGATTCTGTTTCCCGAGGTGTTAAAGGACAAAGAGATGATTTCAGCTGAATGTCCCTAGAAAGAGAGTGGATATCATCATGCATTACCTGCATAAAAACAATCTCTACAAATGCACAATGTCACAGTTTAAAAGAAAATGCGAGAAAAGGAAAAACTCTATAGGGAAAAAAGAGATTAGTAGTTGGCTGGGGGTGGTAATAGGGAGAGACCGCAAGTGGGCACAGGTATCTTTTTGGGGAAATTTTGAATACTAGAGTTTGGTGAAGGTTGCACAATTTCATAAATTTACTAAAAGTTGAATTATACACTAAATCAAGTCCATTTAACTTAGTAAAACTAAATAAAACTGGGTTTTGTTTGTTTGTTTTAATGGATAGGAAGAGGACATGATTTCGGAAATCAGAGGGCTTCTTTCACATTGTCTTGAAAATAATTTTAAAAAGGCTGTATGCAAAAAAGAAAAAAAAAAAAAAAGGCTGGCGCACCTGAGTGGTTCAGTCTGTTAAGGTTAAATGTCTGACTCTTGGTTTTGGCTTAGGTTATAATCTCAGGGTTCTGAGATCCAGCCCCACAGAGGGGGGGGGTCCCCGCTCAGCAGGGAATCTGCTTGTCTCTCTCTCTCTCTGCCCCTCCTCTTCTTGTCCTCTCTTTGTCTGTCTCTCTCTCTAAAATAAATAAATAAGTCTTTAAAAAAAAAAAAAAGGCTGTAGGCTTTATGGGTTAACAATAGGTGATAGGCAAGTTTGTGAAATAAAGTTAACTTAAAAAAAGGATATTCTTATGATAATTTTTTTAAAAGATTTTATTTATTTGAGAGAGAGAGAGCACAAGAGCTGGGTGGGGAGGGGCAGAGAGAGAGGGAGAAGCAGGCTCCCCGCTGTGCAGGAAGACCAACACACAGGACTCCATCCCAGGACCCTGAGATCATAACCTGAGCCAAAAGCACCCCCTAACCAACCAAGCCACCCAGGCGCCCCTCTTACAATGATTTAACATTAAATAGGTTAAGAAATATCTGGCCTTTGGTCTGACTTTCACTTGGTCCCTATCTAGGGCCGATGCATCAAACATTCTGAGACAATGGGAGGAAGCCCCTCTCTGCAGCAGACTCTGCTTGCAGTATATCCCTTGTTTCCCAAATTATTTTGGCAAATTAACATTACTTTTTTCAATAGTGAAAGTGTTCATTTGCACATCAAATTTCTGGTTGATTCTAAATGGCAAACATTAAATGTAGCTGAACATGAAAATTCCAAACACGCAAGACAAATATGTCGTCTGGCGACAGACAGGTGTAGGTGTGCCGAGGGAGAGACATCCTTTCCAAGAGCATTAGGCATCTGTCTAAAAGACGAGGTAGTGAAGAGGCAGTGACCCACAGAAATGATGAGAACAAAGATCAAAAGAGTATACTTATATTAATTAAGGTTGGCACTCTGAATTCAGAAAATCCCTTGGTATTTGTTAAAAAGAGTGCTTTTTCTCTCTTTCTAGTCCTTTTTTTTTTTTTTTACTTTCTTAGGAAAAGCTCTCCTAGGAAAGGGGTCCTAATTTGAAATCCATTTATAATTTGGAAGGATAAAAAAAAAAAAAATTGGATTTCCCAGCCAGCTGTTCCCACTGATTGGCCCAGAGAATCCCCCTATGTGTGTCCAGTTGTTTGGGCTGGGGTGGGAAGAAGCAGAAAGAGCAGGTGGGAGGAAGGTGCTGGGCGCGTGGTAGGGACAGACAGAGACCCCCGTGGAGATACACCACCAACTCTTGCTCTCTGGGCAGTGCCCTTTAGCCATTTTCCTCCTGCCACTTACCCCTTGTCATTTCAAACTTTGTAATACAGGAGGCTTCTGAGACCGGCGGGTAGTGGAGGAGAGTGTTAACGGTTATCGTTTTAAGGAATCTTCTGGCAAGTTTCTCCAATTCTGCCTCTTCCAGAAAGTGCTAGCCTCCGCCTACTTGGCTTTAAGCCAGATGGATGGCACTAGGATTTAAGCTGTCCGTGGTATGGCTTACAGAAGGAAGATAGTCAAAATAAAAAAGCCCATGTGGCCTCCTCAGCTCCCCCATCAAAGTCTTTAGGAATAGCCAGCAAACCAACTGGGACAACTCTTTTCACTGCAGTCTGAAAACCAATAGCTCAAAAATATCTTCTGATGTAGAACTCATTTTGTAATAAGAATATGAATAAAAACAAACTCAAATAATAGGCTTATGCTAAGCAATGGCTAGGGAAAATGCAAAACCCTCGAAGTTGGTGACATTATGCACGTACTGTTAAAGTGAACACTTCCTCTCCATTCTGAATGTCCCACAGTTTGGCTGTTGTGTCCATGCTCCCAGTAGCCACCAATGTGCTTTGAGGATTGAATGATAAACACACCTGAATTGCAGGAAATAGAAGAAATTTTAGAAAGATAAGAGTTTTGAATTGTTAATTTTGTATAGAAAAGCTTCAAGATGCAACCACCTTAGGTTCAGCCTAATTCTCTGCAGTGAGATACCAGGGTGGCATTTGGGTGGCCTGCTTTCTGCAGGTTGAATCCTGAAGCAAGAGGCTGCTTTGATCTAGACCACAGAAGAGCAAGAATAAAAGCAAACCCATCTCCTTTGAGATTCATGCTCTCTGGCTCCCATCTTCCTTGTTGTTAACCTCACAGTCCTTTCCATCCTGCTCCATCACCTGCCCAGGACTTTGGCTATTGGCTCACGGTCTCAATTCCATGTCCTAGCTGGCCTTCGTGTGAGCTGTCAATCCAGTAGCCCAGACCCATGACCCTAGACAACCTTTCATAATCACTTCTGTGGCCACACCCTGGACCTCAACGTCACATTTTCTAGAAAATTCACTACCCATACATCCATCTCTTGGTACAATTTCCCAATGCTTCCACTTTCATCCTTACCAAGCCACCCCCAGGATATCTTCCAGCTCACTGAGACCCCTGCCTTTTCCTGGCACCCCATCCTCATTCAACTGACACCCTGGAAGCATCATTCCTGCCAGCCTCCTCAATACCTTACTCCTTGTCTTTTCCCAGCACCATCCATAAGACTCCTAATAACTGTATCAAGCTGGCATTTCACGCACTCATTGGCCCTCCCTCACCACTCAGCTTAAGAAAACCACCTAGCAGATTACAGGTGTCGCTCATTCGGGCCTTCTGTCCTCAGCTGTGTCCTCAGCACCATTCTCTCCCTACTTGAACGTGCCTCTGGCCCTGTACATTCTCCCTTTCCCCACTCTTGCCCCCAGTCTGTCCTCATCCCGCCCCCACAGATAACCTGGCCTCCTACTACTTCCCGGAGAAAACACCTATGGGGGGACCTTGTTCACCTGGCCCTCACTTCCTTTCCCTTCAGTGTCAGGTGCAGAGGGATCCCTTTGCCCTCCTGAGACACCCTCCTCCCTGCACTCCTAGAGGAGACGTGCCCACTAATTTTTCCCTCCGTCTAGACTGGATGCCTCCTAGTGGCCTATAAATAGCCTCGAGCTCTTCCGACATAAAAATAAATCCTCCCTTGACTCTATGTACTCTTTTTTAGCTACCTTTTTTTCCTTTCACAACCAAATTCCTTGGAAAAATAGTGTGCCATCATCACTGCTTGCCCATGTTTGCCCATCCCCCACTACTTCAACTGCTGGAACCACTCTGGTTAAATGATCCAAAGGCTCTCTTGGTCACTCCATTTAACCTCCCTGACGCCTGCAGTGTTGACTCCTTTGTTCTCCATATTTTCTTCCTTTTTTTTTTTTTTAAAGATTTTTTTATTTTTTTGACAGAGAGAGAGAGAGAGTGCGGATTTGAGTAGGGGGGAGAGGCAGAGGGAGAAACAGGTTTCCCATGGAGCAGGGAGCCCGACGTGGGGCTCGATCCCAGGACCCTGGAATCATGACCTGAGCCGAAGGCAGACGCCTAACGACTGAGCTACCCAGGCACCCTATTCTCTTCCTTCTTGACAGCTTTGACAGTGCTCTGCTTTTTTTCTTTTACCTCCTATCTCTTGTTTGTATCTTTTGGAGAATTCTTCTCTTCTCCAGCTGCTCAAGATGCCATCACACTTCTCCCCATACTGACCCTTTTCCTTTCAGAAATTGCAATTCTCAGTGGTTCCCACGGCCACCCCGATGCCCGTGACTCAGGCACCCACGTCTCCTTCCCCGACCTTGTGCTTGGTTCAGCCCCAAAGGGCCTCTGTGTGGACATCACACAGGCAGCTTGGATCAATCTAAGACATGCAAGTCATATGACCACAAACCGGCTCATCTTTTTATATAAAGAACTGGTGAATGGCCCTGCCATTGTCTGAAGTCAGGGAATCACCCTGGGGCCCCTTTTCTCCTTCACACCTCACAGCTGCCTGGTAACCCCATCCTACTCCTCCACTCCAGCCTCTCTCGCATTCTCTTCACCTGCCTCACGACAGTCCTCTGTCGTCTTTGCTTGGACTGCAACAAGATGGCCAGCTGGCCCCTACTTCTGATCTTACATCACGCTGCCACAAGAAGGATCTCCCCAAAGAGTAAAAATGACCATGTTACCTCCCACCTAAAAAGTCTCAACAGCACGGTGTTATCCACAGGATAAAGTCCAAATGCCTTAGCACAGCATATGAATCAATACTGTGGCCTTGCCAGCCTTCCCCACTTCGATCATGCTCACCACGTGATACGGCTTTGAATGGGGTGCAGGGGCACAAGACATGGTGCCTTTAACCCAGGCAGCGGGGCAGCACCAGGGATCCTTAGCCAGCACCTCTGACCATGGGCAGCAGGCAGCCCCCCGCCGCAAGTGTGTTGCACAGCCCTTTTGACCTATTCTGTGCATGTCATCATGGGGGAATGTTGGCAAGTGCTGCTTTGGCCACATGGAGTCATCTGAGTCTGAAAGCACCCACCCCGGTTGCACACCTCCTCTGGGCATTGACCAGTGCAGCTCTCACTGCCGGGAGAATGTGCTATCTACCTGCACAGTCTTTCCTTAACACCCCCCTCCTTTGGAGGGTGACCACACTAAACCCCCCACCAACTCCTAGCACCCTACAACCCATCTCTGAACTTATTTACTGATGCCTCTACTCCCTCCACTGAACTACAAAATCCCTGCAGGACAAGAACCATGTGTGATTCTATCTGGTATGCCAAGCACACAGTCCGGCGCTCAACACATAGTCAATATTTAGTAAATATTTATTGGATTGATGTTGTTGACATCAAAGTCTTCCTCGGAACTACATATAAAGAAAACTTTTACAAAATTCCAAGGGAGTGTGAGAATGAGGATTATGTCTTTCTTACAACTTTGGACAAGTTACTTACTCTCTCTATACCCTGCCATCTTCAACTGTAAAATGGGGAAATATCTAGCTCCCAGGGTTGTGATGAGGTGCAACTAAGCTAATATATGTAAAGGGCTTATATATTAGCACAAAGCTGTCTTTTGTGCATATTGAATGCCATTTAATGGGTCAGTTATAATTTTGCAATGCAGTATCCCCCAGTGGCTAGCAAAATATTAAACATAGCATGAGCCCTTATTGGATAAATACACCATGAATCCAAAAGATAAATATAAATAAATTTTACTCCTAAAATAAGCAGGCTGGTTATTTTTAAAAGCTATCATTTGTCCCATAGGGAGACAATTATCTCACTAATTGTTATAAGATGTAACACAGAATTGGCCAAGGGCAAGGTCTTCCCAATAGCAAAAGCTATTTAGAGTATCAAACTATTTATGCAAATTCGAGTTCTAATGATATCCAGAAAACAACCAGCCTAAATATTTCACATGATATAAAAAAGTTACTTTAAAAGCTATTCTAAGAATCTTATTCTTAGAATAAAGGATTCATCATCAGTCCTTTAAAAGCAAGTCACTGAAAAAGAAAAGGTGAGGTTGGATATTGTACTCAAATGTTTATCCTATTACATATCTTCTTAGTCAATGTAGGATATGGGTCTTTGACAATAACTGCAAGATATAAAAGCTCAAATAGTTTATATATTACATTAATACCTCCATGTAAAATATATACAAACTAAAAATACTGGATATAATTGTAAAATTGATCATAAAGGTAGAACCACTATTTGTATAATGGACTACTAAAAAGAAATAACAATGATGTATTGATGTAGGTCCATCAATTGTAACAAATGTACAGGTTTGGTGGGGGATGTTGATAATGGGACATGTATGGGGCAGGGCAGGGAGTATTGGGGAAATCACTATACCTTCCACTCAGTTTTGCTGTGAATCTAAAACTGCTCTAAAAAATAAAATCTATTAAAAAGAGAGAGAAAGAGGGAAGGAAGGAAGGAAGGAAAGGAAAGGAAAGGAAAGGAAAGGAAAGGAAAGGAAAGGAAAGGAAAAGAAAGAAAAGAAAAGAGTAACATAAAAATATAGTAAAATAAATATACTCACTATTTCTGCTGTATGACCTCTAAAGGTATGGTAACATTTTCCCGTTTCTGCACTCCATAGCTTACAAGTCTTATCAAAGGACCCAGTGGCAATTTTGTCACTAAGATTTAAAAAAAAAAAAATGTGGATTTTGAAAACAAATTCAAGCACAGTATATGATACACTGATTAAGACCAGAGATATTAATACATGGGTCTATCTACTCAGGAATTTACTTTGTTTTTAAAACAATAAGCAATCTGACATTTGTTTCAGTGGACAACAAAATTAAGGTCTAATTTTTCAATAGTATCAGTTTAAATGTTTAATTTTAAATATTTTACATTAAAGGTAAAATTTATGTTTGGGATTACAATAAGTTTTTTAATTAGCACAGTGAATATGGTACAAAATTTAGTTTAGAAAATTCTTATCAAATGGAAATGAATAATGTCTGAGCTGCAAGGACACAGAAAAATTCTATTAGTAGGTCTAGGATAATGTTGAATTTAAAAGAAGAATGAAAAGATATAAATCCTATTAACCATATGGCTAGATAAGGTTTTGAGAACTTAGTGTCTCCTTGGGAAAATAATGCCAATATTACTCTAAAGCTAAGGTCCTTGAACAAGAGGGAGTGTCTAGAGAGGAAATACGGAAAAGACCAGTCCCTTTCAAACAAGAGGCTTCCAGTGTATACCGTAGAGCAGAGTTACGGTCAACATCCAACAGATTAGAGTAGGTTGGCCTGTTTAACCTTTGACCATGGAACTAAATCTTTTCCTTTACCGTTGACCCCTGTCTTTTACAGCAAGTCATCAAAGTGTTCACTAAACTGGGTCATCAATTACAGTGCAAGTTCATTGTTCAAAAGTGTGAAAGGTCTTAAGACCCCAAATACATATCATAAAGCAAATTCTATATGCTTGGTACAGTTGCAGAATTGATAATTTGTCCAAAATAACCCTGATGCCCTGTATCTCTCCTTTCTTCTCAGGCTACCCACATAGTGTTTCTGTGGTCTCTGATACTAAAGGGAGTGAGGTCCTTTCTGTCCATGCTCCGGGGACAGTTTGTTTTGGAGAATACCCACCCAACCCACCTAGAGCTTCCTAACACTCAAGACTGGTTATCAACCCAAAGTCTGCACTGGCTCTCTCTCCATCCAGTCTAGGCATTCCTCATCAGCTGCTGATGTCCACCAACTTCTGCTCAGACATGCTGAGAGCCCTGTGTGCTCTTTATTTACTCCTTCCCTCCATCTCCCATCCCTCTTGCCTCTCAAACATACTGTCTCAAGTTCCTGTTGTTTCTCGATTAATTCCTGTTTGATCACACACTGCTCTCTATATCCATATGCCACTACATGATAAAAGATAATACTGATTACATCTTTTTTTAGAATTACTTTATTGAATCAAAGCTTACTCCTGACCTAATGTATAGAACACACAAACACTAAACTGGCTGAAGTTCATCTCTCTCTCTCTCCCTCTCCCCTCTCTCTCTTATTTCTCTCTCTCTCTCTCTCTCTCTCTCTCTCACACACACACACACACACACACACACACACACACACACACATTCCCTCTCATTCTTTGGTGGCTATCTTGAACTCATTCTGCTGAAACCCCAATGCCCCAAAATGCCATGGAAAAATGCTGCTTTAATCCATACATAAGTCATCAGACTATGTAATTGGACAAGCAAGTTTTTCATCAGGGGGTCTTGGTAGAATCCAATAAAAGGGCCAAAAGATGAAGCATTTTTACCTCTTTATCCCCCAAAAAACTATGTTCTCAGATAGGCATGCAAAAATATCATATCTTTTAAGTGGACTTTATAGGATATGGTATTATATTATAAAGAATATACTTTTAAATTCCTTTAAATAACATTGCAATTAAAGTAGAAATTATACTAGAAGTAAAACATTATAATTTATAATGTCAATAAAACCTTTCTCTCCCACAGGTTGGTGCGATAAGGTATTATAAAAATTATCATTGTCTACAATGTAAAACTGCATACATCACAGTTAAATTTTTGGTAATGCAATTGGAATATTTAATCATTTTAATTTACCAATTAAGTTTGACTGTGCCATCACAATTACTGTGTTTTAAAAGTGTGTTACATTTTAAAGTGATATAATGACATTAGCAACCCACATATCAAGTTTTTAATATTTATGGTATAAAATTTCAACTCTAAGTGCATCAAATTTTTATAAAATTCCCTTTATTGCTCCTACCACTATCCTACACTGCTCTCATCTTCTCCTGAATCTATCACTTTATCTGCCTCCAACTAATCTCCTTGCCTCCTGTTTCATCCCACTCCAAACCTTCCGGCCCCTTGTCTCTGCCAGAACAGCCCTCCTGAAACAGCACTTTCACTGAGACCCTCTTTTGTTCACAAAGCTTTCATCACAACTGGGTCCTCCAGAACAGAGTTCGAACTACACAGAATGTTCTGATCTTGCCCTCTTTTGTTTCTCACCAGGAAATGTCCACTAGGGAGCTGGGGGTGCTGGGTGAGCCAGATCAAGTCCCACCTAACCTCCGGAGCTACAGGGTGCCCTCACCTAGGATGTCCTCCCCTTTCATTTGTTTCATGTGTTGAGGAAGACGTCTTCCATCTTCCACGCTTCTGCTTGAGCCCCATATCATCCTCAAAGTCTCTACCAGGAGAAATCACATGGATCTTTCTCCTTGCAGCAAACCATTGCTGTTTTGTTCTAGTCATCATAATACCTTATATTTATTGAAACAGCTTGGCAAATGGAAAAAGTCAAAGTAAGCCATCAAGAAAAAAGACACACATTAAAATTTTTTACTCAAATATGCAAGGCCAAGGCCTTTTCTTTGGCTAACCAGAGCTCGTTATTTGTCTTCCAGAAATCATATCCAACCTCTACCACTTCCAGTTCTTTTCTTAAAAATGGAATGAGAACATAAACATACTAGCAGAACAATCTGAATACAAAGGTTTTATAAATGTTTCAATGTGTTTTCTAATTTTTACATTGATCTCATCTGCAACTTCATTTAGTAGTAATTTTTTCGAAGATTTGCCTTATCTACGTTTTCACAAAAAAACAACAGCTTTATTTTCACACTCATATTTCATTAATTTAAGCAATACTCAATTAAATTCTATAATTACAATTGAAAGCACATCCAACATAAGCAGACTGATGGACAAACACAACTAACTCTTGGTAAGTTTATGCCTAACCAGTGGGACAAGAAGCTGGGCATACCAGTGGGTGGCCCAGTGGGTGGCCCAGTTGCTTCAAGCATTCAGGGAGCAGAAGGATAGCTAGAGAACTAACTTAATCTGTTGAATCAGTTAACTAGAGGTTGGTTGAAAAATGCAATTATATTTTGTACTGTTAATGTAGCATGTTACTATACACATTTTTTCCTGCTAAAGGACTGTAAATTAACTTCTAAACAAGGTAGACCATGTTATGTGGGTATGTCACAGTCTCCAGAAACCATTGCTATAAACATCAGTAGGAACCCCCAAGGGAAGGAGCTCAGCTCTGCTTGAACTTGGACTCTCGCTCTCCTCTTTACTACTGTGTGATCCCGGGAAGGGTACTTGAACTTTATATACTTTATATGAGAACAGTAATACCTGTCCCAAAACTCCTTTAAGCACCGAAGAAGGTATTGAGAAGGCTTTCAACGCACACATCAAGCACTTGACAAATTTTAGGTCTTTTTTTCATTTCCTCCCCCAATAAACGGAGGGAGAAAAGAATAAACAAATTAATGGATTAATAAGGAATAAGTGAGTGAGTGAATGTCTTCGTACCCGTAAGGATTGTTGAATGCTATGGCATAGACCACATTCCTGTGGCCCTCCAGGGTGTGAAGCTCTTCTCCAGATGCAGTGTCCCAGACTTTACATGTCCGATCATAGCTTCCTGTGATAAAGCTAACACAAGGAATATACATGAATCACAAAGTGACAATAGCAGTGTGTTAATAAAGACCTCATTTTTTTTTACCCTCATGATTGTAAGCCCATTTATCTTGCTTTTTACAATGGAAACTGTGGATGCAGAACAGTTAAATTGGGAACAATATCCAAATCCTTTGATTAGAAACTTTCCAATTTATCCCTAACCCAAAAAGGAGTCACTAAATAAAATAGAGTAATACTGCCAATAATCATTCTTATAATATAAATAATTAATAGTTAAAGCATTAATCAGTAACATTTTCTGAAACTCTAACACACCTCGATAAACAGCATCATTCTTCCCATTAGTCAGACCATAAAATCTTAGCACCATCCCTCCTCTCTTTCCGTCACATCCCACACACAATCTATTAGTAAATTCTGTTAGCTCAATCTCCAAGTACACCCCTAGGGTGGCCACTTCTCATCAGCATCCATCGCTTGCCTCAACAAATGAAACCATCTTATAATGAGTCTTGGCTCACACATGGCCCTTATAAGTCTATTTTCCACCCTGAAATTGGAGTTATTTTTCAGCCTTCCTCAGATGGCTTCCTAGCAATCTGGAGGAAGATCCAAACTTCTGCTCATGGCCCACAAGGCTAGCAGCACTGGCTGTCTCTGGGACTTCAACTTTACCCCAAAGCACACCCTGTGCCGCCACATTGACCTCTTTGCTAGTCTCTGAGAAACTCATTTTTGTTTTCCTTTATTATACATGCTAGTCCTTCCACCCGTCTGGTTTACTGCCATTGCAAACCTGGAACATGACTGGCACACTAGTAAGTGTTGGATGAATATTTGCTTAGGATTTGCAATCCTTTTACATGACTATTCTACTACAGGAATAATTAGTATGTTGGCCTCTCAAATTTTAAAGTAAAATAATAGTATCTTAGTTATTCCTTAACTATTCCACTAGGAAAGATACTTGCCCAACACAGGGGGGAAAAAATGCACAAAATTAGAAAGTCAGTCTCTATGTCAAGTGGGAATGATAAAAGTTGAGCACAACTCCTGACATTGAAACCCAGATAAACGAAAGGGTTGACAAGGCAGTGTGTCTTTGATTCTTCTCTAAGCATTTCCTCTTAGCTTCTTCAGGGATGTAAACTGGTACAGTCGTGATGGAAGACAGGATGGTGGTTCCAAAAAAAATTAAAAATAGAACTACCATATGATCCAGCAATCTCACTTCTGGGTGCTTATCCAAAAAATGAAATCAGAATCTCATAGAGATATCTGCACTCCCATGTTCTTTGCAGCATTGTTCACAGTAGCCAAGATATGGAAACAACATAAATGTCCATCAAGCAATGAATGGAATATTATTCAGCCACGAGAAAGAAGGAAATGCTGCCATTTGCAACAATGTGAATGAACCTGGAGGACATTATGCTAAGTGAAATAATCCAGCCACAGAAAGACAAATATTGTCTGATCTCACTTACATGTGGAATCTAAAAAAAAAGAAAGTCAAATTCATAGAAGCAGAGAGTAGAACAGTAGTCACCAGGGACTGGGGAGTGGGACAAATGGAGAGACGTTGGTCAAGGGGTATAACATTGCAGTTATGCAGGATGAGTAAGTCTAGACACACAATGCAGAGGCACGATGACTGTAGTTAATAATACTGGATTGAATACTGGAAATATGCTGAAAGAATGCATTTCAAGTGCTTTCTTCACACAAGGAGTGGTAACTGTGAGGAGGTAATATGTTAATTAGCTCAACTGTAACATTTACTTTACTGTGTATATGTATTTCAAATCTTGTCACCTTAAATATATACAAGTTTAATTTAAAAAAAGAAATTTTTATTCCTTGGTTGTTAAAAATTAGAAATAAAGAATAGAAATGGAAATACAGAAATAAAGAGGTGGAGCACAGAGGATTCTTAGGGCAGAGAAGCTGCTCTGTGTGATGCCTTAATAGTGGATCCCTGTCATTATACATTTGTCAACCCTTAGAATGTACGAAAGTTAAGAGTGACCCTTAATGTAAACCACGAACTTCGAGTGATAATGATGTGTCTGTCAATGTAGGGCCATGAAAGAGGGAATCTGAGGGTGTGTGGAGACGAGGTGGATATGGCCAATCTCTGTACCTTCTGCTTAATTCTGCTATAAACCTAAAACCACTATGAAAAATAAAGTCTAATAATTTTTTAATAAATTCTTTTCATTTAAAAATTTAAAAATTTTAGGGGCACCTGGGTGGCTCAGGTCATGATCCTGGGGTCCTAGGACTGATCCCTGCATCAGGCTCCCCGCTCTGGGAAGAGTCTGCCTATCCCCCTCCTTCCGCCCCTCCCCACCCCTGCCCTGCCCGTGCTCTCTCGCGTGCGCGCTCTCTCCCTCCCTCTCTCAAATAAATAAAATCTTTAAATAAATTAAAGTTTTAAATTTTAAATAAATAAATTTGAGAACCTTACCATGAGCCCGATTTATTAAGTGCAACATTAGTCAATGGCAGTATATGTGCTCTGAGAACCTTCAGTGAAAGAAAACACAATTTTGTTTTAAACTGAAAAAAAGTAAGTTTAACTCATTAATTTTAACTTCAGACTAATGAAGACATTCAAGTTTGTCTTAATTATAAATAAATGGACAACAGTCACTATCTGAACAAATGGAAAAAAATGCATTGTGCCTTCTACCATTAAGACCAATAAGACATTTGATAGTTACAAATAACTGCAAAAACATAGTTAGATCTGTGTTTTCCATGAATTTGCTTTTAAGATAATTTACTGCTATTAAATAAGATATCAAATAGCACTAATCCATAATATTTTAAGTACTGCACAAGGTTTTGTACATATGCATGAATAGTATATAGAGGAAATATGCCAAATATGTTTAAATATAGATTTTACAATTAGTTATTACTTTTGGAATCTTAAAGCTCCTCTAGGGTCAGAGTATATCTTATCTTACTTATCTTTCTACATTATCAAACACATGGTGGATGCTAAATATTTATCGAATGAACATACATAAATTGGATAGTCTGTTTATAGATAAGAGTAGTGAGGGTGGGACAGTCTCAGTTATTTCTACTGCAGGAGTATAATTATTAATAGTGTCCCCTTTCACTATCAAAAATGTTCCCTTTGGAGGATAAATTACAAGGTCAGGCGATGTATAGAGTTCATATTTGAAGTTAAATAGTGCCACCTGCTGGAACAAAGAGATACCATAAGAATAATTCTTCATCTTTCAATAATACATTGAAGGGATGACTACAAAAGATTGAATATCTTGTATCAGGTAGAATATGTCAAGTATATAAATAACAATTACATTTTCTTATAATTTTATTTAAATCATAAAAAGAAAATCAGTGTAATATGGAACAATACTAGAATAAACCACTAAATATTGTTAAATAATTAAGAAAAACGACAACTGTCCTGAATAAGTGACAATATTTGTGATATTTTCACTTATAGCAAAAGCTATAGAGAAAAATAGGTACATTTATACCGCATTAAAATTATTATATAAGTCATGTCAATAAATAATTTACTGAAATATAGTTTAGTTCACCTGGAAGCAGAAAATATTAAATATTGATATACCATGAAATACAACTTCTTAATATTACTCCAACTGAAAAGAATTTTAAGTTTTCAATAACTTAAAACTACCCTAATGGTCATCCCTTAAATTTAACATTGTAAAGAACAGCCAAACTTACTACAAATCTCTCTTTAACTCCTCAAGAAATAAATGTTAGAATTTCATTCAGTCAGTCAACAGATACTTGTTGAGACTTAGTCTCAGCAAATATATGTGAGGCACAGAGATAAAGAGGAAATATAATCTGTATTTTGTCTCAGATTGATAGGAAACAACTAATTCACTGAAGTTCTAGTTTTTTTTAATACATGCATTACCTTAAAAAGATAAAATTTGTGGTTGCTGTGCTGTCTGAGTTTATCTTGTAATCTCTGTATTAAAAGCTTTACTTGATCTGATCGTGAAGCTGTGATTAGAGGCTCTGCTTTCTGTATCTCTTCTACTAAGGCATTGACATCAGTGCTGAAATTCACAAAAAAAAAAGTTACTTTCTTCTACGCAAAAATTTGCATACACAGGCAATGCACAAAGAATTGCATTGCATTATGAAGGACATCTATAAAGTGTCAAAATGCCATCAGCTTTACTAAGAGATTTCTGGGGAAAAATACAAATCAATAAAGAAATCAAGCCTGCATGAAAGTGGCGCAGGTTCTTCCGAATGCACTGTCATAAACCGAGATTCTCCCATGGAAGGTGTGCAAGGATTCTGATTTGCTCACCTGAGAAGGCCAAGTGCATACTGGTTCTGAACATGAGCTCTTTATTTTCTTCCTGTTGCTTTTGTCTCTTTAGTGAACATATACAGAATGTTCCTGGTACCACTATACTTTGAATCTTATATACACTCTCTTGTTTAATCCTGTAACAACCCACCAATTTAATGCTTTTATCGTAATTATTTCAGAGATGAAGAAACTGAGGTTTGAAAAGGTTAAGTTTTAAATATTTTTTAGGGAATGAGAAAGTATCTAACCAAAAATGGACATTCAAAGAATGATGATGATTAATATTTCATATGGACTATAACATCATTTTCCCCAAAAAAAAAAAAAAAAAAAGCTGCTCTGAAAAGTACAGTCAAGGTATCCCCCAATACTCAAATAATCTATAGCAATGCTGATCAATTTTGCTAGTCCAGGATAATAATTGTTCAAGAAAAAGAATAATGTCTATAAGCCACAAAGCAGCCAAAATAGGTCATTTTGCAAAACACGTCACAAACATGTATCAAAGATGCACTGCCCATCCCCTCCCTCAAGAACAGACTCATGGCCCCGCTGGGATGGGGGGTGGGGTTGCCTAGGCAGCTGACAGCCTCCAGCAGCAGCTCCTTAAGGATCCACCTCAGCATCGGATCCCGGAGCCCCGGGCAGGCCCTCCTCCAGTAGCCCTCAGCCCAGGGCTGAACAAGTGCACGGTGCAAGATCCTGGCCATTTCTTCCCCCAGAGGGACTCTCACCAGTGAGCTTTATCGAGAGCTCCCTGTGGGCTGGCAGAGACTTGTCACATCTGCATCATCATGGTCAATGGCTCTTCATGCCGAACTCTGCTTCGCTTCCTGTCACAGATGTCACTTCTCAATAACCTGTCACCCACCTACTTCTCCTACCTCTGTCTCAACAGCTGCTTCCCAGAAATGCAAATTCAGATAAGCATGCCTCTCCTCTTCTAAATAAACAGTTCCTGAGCTCCAGTTCTTATAAGGCACTGAGCTAGAAGACTATTCATCCCACTAACTTTTACCCTACTGTTGCTTAGGCCCTGGGAAGGTAAAAGATACAGTCCCAGCTCTCAAGAAATACAATCTATCGGGATAGGAATGAATATCTAGACCAGAAATGAATCAGAGACAGTTTATAATGATGACTTTGATAAATTCCAAGAGAGTCAGTTGTCAAAGGACTCACAGTTTCCTAAGAATTAAGAAGATGATAATGCCTCTTGGAAAGGTTTCCAACCACTGTTATAAATCAAAACAGATTTCCCAGCAAGATCTAAATTCACCAGATATTTAATCTGTACATCCCAACCCTGTGGTATTCTAATTTCCCATTTCCAATACGGTAACTCCAGTATGTCATATCATATCATGCAAATGTTTTTATATGCAGAATTCTTCCAGATTCTTGAGCAGAACCAAAAGTAACATCTATACATTTTTCTACTTGACATTTATATACCACATAGCATGACTACAGCATCCTAAGGATCTACACTTTTTAAAATATAAAATCTGTGTTTTTCTGCATTTCTAGCTGGAACTTATTCTCTCGTATAAACATTAATCTGTGCCACTCATATGATGTTCTGTCTGGTACAAGTTGTTTCTCAAACTAGACAACGCATTCACTGAGGTAGGGATCAAGATTCTTTATAGCCTCTCATTGATTCTAAACTAGAGCTTTGCATGTAGAAGGTGCAAATAACATCTTTATGGACTCAATAAATGAATGTCTAACAAAGGAACTTTCTACATGCTGGCATAATCAGTAATATGTGCCCGTTACAAAAATAACTGAAATCTTGACTTGATCTTAGACCTTGTCTTACCTGAAAATAGATAAAACAATGACTTGTTGTAGATGAAATTCAATGCCATTATCTTTGCCACCATTTTTTTTGATTAAAAAATAAACAATTGAGTACCTTCTCTGTGTGGTCACTTGGAATAAGAAGAGGACTCAACGTAAACCATCACCATCCGAGCCACACCCTGTCCTCACCCTCAGACAAGTTCCAGAGCCCTCGAGTGGCCGCAGCTCTGACGAGCCATGAGGCTGCTGGGGCTCATTTTAAAACTAGAGAGCAGCTCATTTACTATTTAACTATGGTTATGTGAGACGTGCCTTTGTTCCCCTCCCCGATAATCATGACAAAGGAGAAGGACAGTTACAATGGAAAATCACTTATTTCACTGGATCAACAACTCTGAAACACGTATCGTGGTATTTTTGTCCTATTTTAAAATTTTCTCTCACTCAAAATATCTTTACCTTATCTGAACATGGGCTTCTGCAGGATAATCACTAATCTGATTCTGTCTCTTGAAGTGGAGTTTTGCCTAGGATTTCTTTCTGGTTTGTTTGTTTTGAGTTTTGCATAGGATTCCCTAAAGGGAATGAATTCTGGGCAGTATGATCTCACAAGAGGATTTCCTAACTCTGCCCCATGACAATTAATGAGGAGGATGGAATGCAGTCAGCCCTGTGTGATGTTTATCTCCCAGGAAAGTAACAGCCTTAGTAGTATTCTTAAAATTCCAATAACCAGTATTCCTCAAAAATGTTAAGGTCATCAAAAAGAAGGGAAGTCTGAGAGATCCTCTTCACCGCGAGGACCCTGAGGAGACTGGATAATGAAATGTAATGTGGTATCTTGGAAGAGAAAAAGATAATTAGGCAAAAAACAAGAAAAATTGAATAAGACATGGTCTTTAGTTAGTAAGAATGTATCAGTACCTGTTCACTAATTAGGACCAATGTACCACACGAATCTACGATGTTAATGATGGGGGATGCAGGGCATGGGGCATATGAGAACTCCTATATTCACAACTTTCTAAAACTATTCTAAACTAAAATGTTAAAAACAACAACAATAACTGGTCTATTTAGGACCAAAAAAACGGCAGACTGATGATCCTTTTCCCATCTCCCCCTCACCCAGCAAGATGCTCAAGCAGAACTCACTGGAGCAAGCAGGAAATAATACAGCACAGGACACTGTTGTAGCAAAGTATTGTCTGAGTTCATGCAGCTCATCCACACATCACCCTGTGTCAGCGTTTTCCAGTAAAAAATCTGGATATGAAACCCAGGTTGCATTGCGTAGCTATTTTACCTGGAACTGAGGTTGAGCAAATCTATGGATTTGGTTTTCAATTCTCCACTCTTTTCATATTCCAACATAATTCCTATAAAAATAAGCAAACATGTTATAAAACACTTAGGATGACAACCAATGTCAAAAGCTAATCTACTTTGCCATAATTTTTTTCATTTGTTTTTTAATTTTTTAAATTTCTTGGCATACACAGTGATGTCTGATTCTAAAACAAGACTGTGTGACCTCACTTTTCCCTAGTCCTTCCTCTAAATACAGCTACATACCCTTGAAATTATTCAACAGGCAATGCTAAAATAACTGAAGGTTGGGTAGAGGGTAAACTGGCTAGAGTTCTCAGGACTTGAGCAATGACAGTGTGGTGAGTTCCCTGGGTTTTCTTTTTACCTCCCATATACCCCTAAACTGGAAACCAGAGCGACTTGCAGCCTGGAACCACCAAAAAGCATAGACAACAAAAACCAAGCAACAGCAAAGCTTGCTTTCTGTGGCCAAAGGACCAGGCAAAGAAAAGTCAGACAAAGAACTAATGGGGAGCCAGAAGCCCTGCTCCACAACTGGGGCTCCTTAGGCAGTCTGATCCCGCAGTGGAAGGAAGCTCTGGGCTGTCCCAGTCCCCCTGCAAAATTGGGCCCCAGCAGTAATCGGATCTGCCTGCAGCAGCCTGGCAACAAAGACCCAGGCCTCCTCAAGACCCTCAGCTAGGGCCCCAGGGGGCCATCTAATCTGTCTACAGCAGCCACAGGGAAGTCCCAGGATCACTCAGTCCCCATTCCTCACCCAAGCCATTGGTGGGCAGCCTCATCCATCCACAAAAGGGGCAGCAATGAAGTCCTAGGATATCCCAGACCCCACTCCACAATCAGGCACCGAAGCAGTGTCTTCCTGCCTTTCAACCAGTGGTGTCACCAGGCCTAGAGTCTTGTCCCCTGTGCCCCCCTCCCCCCAGAAGGTCACTCAGTGAGAGCAGGCATACTGAGAAGTACCTTCCACTTTGCAGGTGGCACCAGCTGGAACTGAGCAGGAGACTTAACAGCATCAGAAAAACGAAGTAGACCAGAATAACATTGCAAGCGCTCATGAAACTAAGCTGCCATTGGAACTAAAGCCCACAATGTAGACCAGAACCTCTATGCTAAATCTAAACATGGTGACAGGCCTGTCAAAGTAGATTCAGATAGGATCAAGAGTCTCCTAACATAAGAACCAAAATGTCCAGGATACAATAAACAGGAAAAGACAATCAATAGATCAAAATACCCAGTATACAATAAAAAAATCACCCATCACCCCAAGAACCAGAGGAAGATAATCAACAAACACAGATATGGTGGTGAATCAGATGCTGGAATTATGTGACAAGTATTTTAAAGGGGATGTCAAAAATACTTTGGCAACCATTCACAAATTCACTTGAAACAAATGAAAAAATAAAAAAGTCTCAGAAAAATAAAAGTTTTTTAAACAAACTAAAAGGGAATTATAGAACTGGAAAGTTCAATGGGCAAAATGAAAAACTTGTTGAGTAGGCTCAGTAGAAGAATGGAGATGACAAAGGATAGAATCAGTGAACTTGAAGACAGATCAATAGAATATATTCATTCTGAAAAACAGAGAGATAATTTACTGGGGAAAAAATAAAACCTGAACAGAGCCTCTTACCCACTTTATTGTACTACCTCTATAAATATGGGCCATTGGATCTCAAAAGTTTGGCCTTAAGACCACTTTACACTCTTTAAATTATTAAGGACACCAAAGAGTTTTTGTTTTTGTAATATTTTACGTATTAAAATCGAGAAATTTTTAAATTATTTATTAAACTTTTAAAATAACAATAATAAAGTCATAGCATGCTAATGTAAATAACATATTTTATAGAAATAACCAAGAAGAGTAGCATCATTTTACACTTTTGCAAATTTCTTTGATATCTGGCTGAATGAAAGACAGCTGGATTCTCATCTCTGCTTCTGCATTCAAATTGTTCCTACACAGTGTTTCAGATGAAGTATATGGAAAAAATATCTGGTCATACACAGATATGTAGTTGGAAAATGAGAAATTATTTTAATTGCATTTCCAAGTAATCATGGATAATCTTCTTTAATACTATATTAAAGCTTAACAAGTGGTGGGGCGCCTGGGTGGCTCAGTCATTGAGCATCTGCCTTCGGCTCAGGTCATGATCCTAGGGTCCTGGGATCGAGCCCCACGTTGGGATCCCTGCTCGGAGGGAGGCCTGCTTCTCCCTCTCCCACTCCCCCTGCTTGTGTTCCCTCTCTTGCTGTGTCTCTGTAGAGAAAGAAAGAAAGAAAAAGAAAGAAAGAAAGAAAGAAAGAAAGAAAGAAAGAAAGAAGAAAGAAAGAAAGAAAGAAAGAAAGAAAGAAAGAAAG